CTCAATAGGTAATTGGTGGAAAAAGTAATGTTCTTGAAGAAGATGAGCAGTGTTGACTAATACTTTTGGACTGTTTATAGGTAAAGTTAAATTGACTTCAGTGATAAGATTGGGTTCAGTTGGAAGAGGATATTTGTTTGTAGGGTTGGCAGTTATATATTTGAGTGTAAGTGAGATGTTGAACTTGTATGAGTTCTGGATTTCTGCGATGAATTCTTTGGCTAGATGTGTATCAGTTATTGGGAATGTGTAGTCTCCAATAGTGTGAATTGAGTAAGGGTTAGCTGATAGTGGTTTCTTTTGTATAAAAAAGTCATTCAGAACATGTCTAAAGCTGTAATATTCTCTGAGGATATTAATGTATTTTTAAAGTCAATAGCATCTTGGAGATTGCATGGAAATAAATGTCTAACTGATGAATTGAGATTTTGTAGTGTAGTGGAAAGTTGTGGTTTGGCTTCAGGTAGATTAAAGTAGCTAGCTGAAATTTCTTTTTCTAATGAATAGTAACATTTTAATTTTTGGAGAAGTATGATAGTGCAGATCTTTTAGTGATTGGGAAAAGATACCGAATTTCCTCATTTAGTTTGAAAGAGTCACTAGGGAGTGGTTCGATAACTGTGTCAAAGTAGCTATCAGAAAGTTTTTCAAAGGTAAATACTTTACGTAGTGCCAATACAGTGCCCCTTGTAAGATTACAGTTTTGAATTGGTAACGAGAAGGAGAGAATTTCCTGGATAGATAAGTCTATCAACAGGGGCTGCTCAGGTAATGGAATAAGGAAAGAGGTGTATGTTTTGTTGAGGAGGTTCCTCATATCTTCAAACTCGATAGAGCAGGTAATTTGGGCAAAGTTGAGACAGTAAGAGATTATGCGAGTACAGTTATGAGGGCTAATTAACATGAAGTCTAAATTGCAAATGTAGTCTATTGCAAGTTTGGTCTTAAGTTTCTTGAATACTTGGTCTCTGTTGAACTTGTTTATAAAACAGACGTCATATACTCTTTTGTACTTTTCTATTGCCATTTGAAGAAGTGAGTCAAACTTCTTTTGGTGTTTAGGTTGAGTTTCCTTGTTTCTAGTGAAGGAATAGAAGAAAGCAAAGTCAAGGTAGTTGAATTTATCACAGATTGCATGGGGAATATTGTGCTCAGTTGGTTGAGCTTGAATCTTGTGCATGAAAAATAATTGCAAGAGTTCGTGAGAAGTAAAGGTGTGGATGATGGTATTGATATTTCAAAGGTTGGTGTCAAATTCTACTTTGTGGCTTTTAGCTAGGGCCTTAGCTACCGAATTAGCCCAGGTAAGTGACTTGTCAGATTTGAAGTTATTTGTTTTCATATTCGAGATAAGTGCTTTGCTATAAGACTTTTTTTTGGGTTCTTGAGATTTAACTGTTGTATTGGATTGTGTGTCCATGTTATCCTTGAGGCTATGACTTGATGGAGTAAGTTGGTTTGTTTCTGTTAGTGCCGATGGTTGTTGCTCTGGGTTCCAGGGGTTGTTTTGGATAAGATCGGGAAAGAGGCCGACGGAATGAGAATCGATGATCATTGTATTGGCCTGGGCTGTAGGAGTTTGTTTCTTTTTTCTCACACTTGTTTGCTTATTTAGATCGGATAATGTCATTTGTTTGTTTTTTTCTATACTTGTTTGTTTGTTTGGATCGGATGATATCATTTGGTTTTTTGACAGGGGTTTGCTAGAATGTCCACTTTGGGGTAATTTTTTATTTAATTTTTTGGGTGCAGTACGAGGAGGAATTTGTACAGAGTTGCTAGTGATCACTTTAGTTTGGCTATTTTCATTAGTTGTTTTCGTCTTCTTTAGAGGGGGTGGGTTATCAGGTGTTTTTGCCTGTGTTCTACTATTGGTGCTGTTGGAGGCCCCAGAGAGATCCATCCTGGTATAGGAAGGTAGTGCTAATGGAACAAAAAAGTTTTCGAAGGCTTTGGAAGTGGAAAGTAATATGTCTTGATCTCTTTTTAGCTTTGTTAAAGTATTAGTTAGGTTCTTTAATTATGTTGGTGTGCCTTAAAGGCCATTATTTAGTTTTATTTACAAATTTTGAGCAATGTAGTTTGTTTATTTTTACTATTTCCTATTGTTTTGATGATTTATGGGAAAGAGTTCATTTTATTTTTAATTCTATGAGCTTCCAGAATTAAAATAAAAAAAATTATCAAATTTGGATAGTAGGTTGTTGAGAAATTTTGTTTTAAATATTTTTTTTTTTGCACCATTTAACTTATCACATGACTTTATGGATATTCATGTCTGCAAAAAAAAAAAAAAATTCAAACCAAAGATTTCTTCAACTATTCAAATTTGATGTTTTTTTTTTTATTTTAATTCTGTGAGTGCATAGAATTAAAAATAAAAAAAAATTTGGCAGAATTTGGATAAGAAACATTCATTAAAAATTAAAAAAAATTTGGTCGCTGCTTTTTTTTTATAGGCACCTAAACTTTGAATGACAACTTGCCTAGTCAAATTCGATCAATTTTTTTATTTTAATTCTGTGAATCATAGAATTAAAATAAAAAAAATTGATCAAATTTAACTAGGTAAGTAATGAGTAGTTTTTGTTCATGCTTATAAATTTTGTTTATCTCAGAATATACGAGAACAGCTGTAACAGCTGTCAGTGAAATGAGTGTCGGTGAAATAGGATATCAGTGAAATGAGATGTTGAGAAAGTGGCTGTCATAGGCTGACTTTCGTATAATTGGTAGTTTAAATCATTTTAATTTTACATTATTTATACAGTTTAAAGTACTTTTTAAAAAAAGAAAACTACAAAGAATAAACAAAAAAGAAAGGTTTATTAGGGTTGTAGGACTTCACTATTAAAATAATCAAATTTCTTTTTTGTTTTAGAGAAGTTAGCATAATAGCAACTTCTTAAAGATAGATAAAATTGGGTTATCACTATGTGAAGTCCTACAACCTTTCTTTTTTGTTTATTCTTCGTAGTTTTCTTTTGATTTAAACTGCCAATCATACGAAAGTCTGCCTATGAAAGTGGAATTGGATGTCAGAGAAATGGATTCAGGGAAGTGGGTTGTCGAGGAAATGGGTTGTCGGGTAAGTGGGTTGTCGAAGAGGTGGGCTGTTGGCGAAATTGGTGTTGGTGAAGTAGTTGTTAGCTAAGTTGGCCAAATCTATCATGTATATATCCTTACTTCTGAAAAAAGCTAAAGATGAAAAAAGCTAGTGTATTCCTGTATTCTATACCCCCATACCCTCACAACACATTCAAGCAATGAAATAATATTTTTTATAAATGCTTGGTCATGAGGCCTTATAGAGTACAGTATCTACATTATGTGTAGTGCTTTCGACTAAAGTCCACCCCATTCCTATTCACTTATTTCATTTGTGTCTAAAGAAAGAGAAATAGAATATATTTAATGAGACACTATTTGCTTCAATAAACTGTTTATATGAGTATAGTGAGCCGACCGAATAGTGGGATCCAAAGTGACTCTTCTAGATAAAGGATGATAGGTTTTTGTTGCTTTGAATAGGGAAGGAACTAACACTTATTATGTAAATATAGCCTCCCTAGTGATGGGAATTTTTAATTATTAATTGTTTATAGGAAATTGTTAAATTAATAAATCATTTTTAACAATTAATAATTGAATTATCCAATATGCATAGAAAGTGTCGATAGAATGATTGATGGCGCAGTCATAATGATTTACTAATCATATTGAGTTGTACGAACAATAATTTTAAACCCTTAAGTTTGAGGCTCGTCATCGATTAGTTATTTATATGCTGCGGCTGTGATAAAAGATCATGTATTTTTCACCTGATAATAGTTTCACAAAGTGTACGTACATGCGAAAATATGTGATATAATCAATAATATTATTGGTTAGATCGTTTTCAACAAAGAATATTGGATAATTTATTTATTAATTGCTTAGAAATTATTGTTAAATTATTAATTAATTTTTAATTTTTTATCGTTAACAATTTATAATTAACAATTAGAAATTCCCATCGCTAAGCCTCCCCCATTTGACAATTGCAAATTCTAATGTAATCAATTTCATCAATTACGCTTTTTGATTACATTAGATTTGTAATTGTCAAATGGAGGAAGACTATATTTACGTAAATAAGTGTTAGTTCCCATATATAAAAAGGAAGGTTTCTCTTCATCTGTGGTGCAGTTCAGAGTAAGAAACTTCGATAAATATAGATCAAAAGCTAGCCAAAATGGATAGGGTGTTTATATTCCCGCAAGCTGAATATTTTTGTAAAAAAAATTATTAATCATTCCAGGAAAAAAATGTTCAGGGGCATTGGCGTAAATTATTTACCTCCACGATTTGTAAATATACACAGCTTATGAAATATACTGCTTATTTGTTGGGCCCTCCCTTTTTTCAGATGAAATAACAATTTCATGCTAAACTGATATGTTATAAATTTATACTAATAGAATAATGGTATGTCCCCTATTGCAAAAAAATACATTTTATTCGGGATCTGTAAAAAGCAGTAGATAATAAATCACCCATGCTGGATTACGTACTGCTAATTCCTATATTGTATGATTAGCCAATATACATAATTTGAATGCGCTTACACAAGTAGGATAATAAAAGTTTACCATTTATTTCGTTCTCATATTATAATCTGCGAAATGAAAGTCTGGAATGTGTTTTTTATTATTAATTCCAGAACTTTTAAGCAAAAAATCTTCGACCAATTTATTAATAGATCGCGTTAATAGTAGGTTATACTATACTCCCGATTCATACTGCGCATTTGGGATATGCTTACGTAGGGAAATGTATAAGATAATCATAAAGCCTTGTTTCCTTTTTCTTATAATTATTCGAATTGAAATAAGCATAATGAATATTATAAAAATTTTATTATTTTATTGCAATAAATTAAAAATTTTTAAAAGAATAACAAGTAAAAAAAGTTTCTATTATATATGCATGATGTTTCTATGCTAGTCTCTAATTTGTAATCACATCAAAATGTGAGAAATCATGTTAAGGCCTTTTCGGAAATAAAAATTCTTCATTGGTATCTTTGTTTTTGCATTCACTTGTTCTTTGCTAATTTGATTCATGAAGTAGATTTGCCCAAGAGAAACGGTATAGATGTTCTTAACTTTATTATTATAAATAGAGGGTGCCATAGCGGATCTGTATGCTCTTCCAGCAAATGGTCCAAAATAGCTTGTAAAGGTATTTTTATCTACAATTTCCGACCTTTTTGGAATTTCAATGTTACAATTTGCAGTTGTAAAGAGGATGAAAAAATCATTTTCTGATGCTGATTTTTCACGCTCTTCTTGGTATTGCTTTTTACTGACTGCTTTTTTTTGTAATTTAAATTAGTGGATTTCATTCGGACTCTCAGTACCCAGCTGATCTAATGAAAGGAAGGAATCTCCATATGGTGATGATAGGGCATTAATAATACAATGTCTGAATTGCCGAACATCAACAGTAGAATTATAGCAATCAACATTCCATTCACTTGCAGTAAGAGTTTTAGACCTTGTGTCTGTTTGGTGTTTTGCAATTTCAAGTTGTAGATTGTGGTTTTTAAATTAGATATCGCCATTCAAACGTGCTCCCGCATGAACCTCTGAGATCGTAATTAGCTCATCTTCTTCAATCACAGCTGACTTTATACAACGAAATGATGCAACAAATTTTTCAAAACTCTGCCATGTCTTGGCTTGCAACAATGTTACTGGATTCAAGAGTGCTCTTTGCTCTTCATAATCAGCAAACCCCCAATCTTGAAGTATTGGATCTCCTAGCTGTTGAGACATCTCTACAAATATCCAGAGCCAGATATATGGTGCAGTGAGGTACCTTTTTAGGCTATTTTCTACTTGCTCAAATCGAATCAACCCACTGCCAACAAACTCATCTGGTGTTTTGTCAGTTTTGGGAATAGGTTTATATCTATTTAAGAGGCGTTTAGTCAATATCGCTCGTGCAATGGGCCTGGCTTCTTCCACAGAAACAAAAATTGCATCACAGTATTTTTTAGTGAGGTTATGACACAGTTCATTCATCAAAGTATCAACATTGCATTCTTCAATACTACGACCAGCCAAGCAATCATTCAGAACTTCTAGGGCCCTTCCATGCCCTCCGCAGTCTTCCACAAGAATGTTAGTAAGCACATCATTTTTAAAGACTGGAATTCCCTGTTTATAGTTTGGAGGTTGTAGAGAAGCGACTGGTAGGTATACACGATCCCGCGTTGAATATCTCAACATACCATCAATCGGTCCAGCGATAGTTGAGGTACAAACGGGTATCATGAAAATGCCACTAAACGCAAGATCTGCAATAGATGTCAGAGTTTTGTAAAATATAGAATTTAACTTTAAACCATCATCTTTGCTCTCCATAAGCTGTTGTATTCCATCAATAACCAAAATGGCTGTAACGTTTCTCAAGTCTTGATTATGGTGTTTGGCAATCAATGTCACAACCAACGGATCTGGTGGCTCGTATGTCTCGATAATTTTATTAAGCGTCATTTTATCTCTAAATAGCATGCGAGTACCAATAGCATAATAAGGGCGGGATTCATCTTCTCGTAAGCCAAAGCCATTCTCATAGGTGACATGGAATACCCAAGCTTCTTTAATCCTAGTCAACAGCTCCTCATCTTCTTGAGCTAACAAACATGTGATTGCCGTTTGGTGGAATTCATTGGCATTTCGAGATTTTCCAGTACCAGCTCCAGAAAGGAAAAGATAGATCGGAAGATTCAATTTGTCAAAAAGCCCTAAAATAAAATTTTTATAATGCCGTTTAAGCGATCTTCGCAAGATTTGCTTCAAAGATGGGTCAGGTTAATATTCCCGATTAGCACCGGAAGTGTAAAGTAAAGGTTCAGGTTTCATATATAGCAAGCCTAATGTATAATAGCATGCCCGATCAGCCTCAATATAAAATGGCAAGTTTTTGTTTGCGGAAATTACTCAATACCTCCATGAAAGGCATCAGTGATTTTTATTTTCATTTGTGCTAATGTAAAAAAGATAAATACATGGCACAGTGCAGGTGAGATAAAGCGGTTGTCATTCAAGAGAAGCTATGGTCACTACGCTGACCAAAATTATTATGACTCACTAACAACTACAATAACGTGAATGTGTTTTTTGGGCGGATTTGATGATAAGAAGCAGGAAAGAAAAACACAAGAATAAGTAAGTCAAGCACATTATTTGTATTTTGAATCTCCTATGAGAGAACATACTGGGCGTAGGGATTAGAGATCTCAAGAATACAGATTTTGTGTCATCAGTTGGACAGTCAGGAAGGAAAGCCAACGTGTCATTTTGTCGTTTTTCATTCCCAATAAAATATTTTCGTAAAGCAATTTTTTCCTCTTCAGTGAAATCGAGAGTATTAATTAGTGTTCTGAGAACTTGTATTTGATCGGACATTTTTTTTTTGTACGGATTAGTTAAGAATTTGCGACGATACCTCTTGGAAAACCTCCTCTATCCATATATTACAACCGGCACATTAGGTACGTTCGGTACATTCGGCGTAGTAACCCCGTGATTCATAACCCGTGATATAATAATTAAACGGGCACCGGATATCTGATCAGTTTATCCGATCTGTTATAATTCAGATTGATAGCGATAGGAACTCTTATCATAACCATTCGATATTATATGACTCCTGTACTTCGTTACCGGTTTTACTTCAGGTGACCCAAAACGAACTTACCATTATTAGCGTTATACACGTAAAGATTTTCAACAAAATACAGGAATATGATTCTAGTTTAAGGCAAGTCAAAAATTTCATGTTCTCGATTCTAAAGTAAACATGTTTTCTGTTCCAGTGTTTTGTGCATGTTCTTACACTGAAACCTTATAAACATGATTTTGTGAGTTTTACACAATTATTATTTTCTCAACTGAAATCTAATTCTTTTATCATATATGCAAAGCCAATCGAATATTTAACAGAAACCGTATCGATTTCGATATCGATATATTCTAAATTTGGTTCGACAGTAAGAATTGTCATAGTGATAACGATAAGTGTGCCTTGTGACTGCAGATGTGGTACAAATATAAATTGCACATGATTTTAACTTGTAGTACGTAAGTAAATCCCGTCTTAACATTCAAGGTGAGAAGAATATTATCTAATTTAGAATAAAATTTTGCACACAAAAAAATATAATATATTTATGTATTTAAAAACATAAGATTTTTAAGATTTCGTGTACAATACAATATTTAAGGACTATAAATTTAACAGAATTTTCAAGCATGTAATTTATCTTCTCGCGATTAACAATTATATATAACGATCTTATTTAAGCGAATTGTTCTTTTTATTTTGTAATCATAATTTTGTAGCTGAGAAATGGATTATGATGTAAATGACGGTAATAATTGGAATAACGATGGCACTTGGAATATTGCTAATGATAATGCCATCGAAGGTTTTTATACTTGGCCTGACAATTATAAAACGACCGAGTCTTCTTCTTGGGACACTTCCGATGATAAAACTGTCGTAGCATCACCAGTATACAACTGGCCTAATAATAATGATTTTGAAGATTTTTTTGAAAATTCTCTTGAAAGATTCAAAAATGATTTATTCCGAGTCTTTACTGATTTTTATTATGAATGGCAAGGTCTTTCTAATGAAAGAACCTCAACATCACAAAAACAAATTGTTAATGGTAATCTTAAAAATAATTATATTTTATACTTGACTTATTGTCCATTAACTGATTCCTATGAACTTTTTTCAGTTAACGAAATTGATGGAGAACTTGTTATCCATGGTATCATAAGTTTATATGATTTCATTGATTCCCTTTTTTTTTTTTACAAAAAAATTTATTATTGAATTCTCCATTTATTACAAGTTGAACTTCCTGGTTTTCGTAAAGAAAATATCATTGGTAGGATAGCAAATTATTCCAGACGCTTCGTGAATATATGCATACGAATCTCGTTATAACGGCATTGCCATTATAGCAGAGTTCATGTGTATATATGGGTGTTGGTAAGAGAAAACCTGTAAACCAGATTGAAAATCAGTGAATTGGTTTACAGGTTTTCTCTTACCAACACTCATATAATACATTACTTTTTTTTTCATAATTCTGCAAATAAATAGTTGATGTGTGTAGAGATGATACTCGTGGAGGCGACGTTCTAACAATTAGGGACAAAGATTGGGACACACAACCTCTTTACGGACGATTTTTGGTATATATATCTTTGATTCATTTATATGATTGTACGAGTTTATTTATTTGCGTCTCTTATTCTCAATCCGAAAGGGAACTATCGTCTTTCCGTACAAGATTGATGCTGGAAAATCACAATTATTCCTTGAACAAGGTACCTTAGACCTTAAGGTAGTAATATATATTATATTAATTTACTAACTATAATTATATAGATCTTCCAAATATTTCATCTAAAATATTTAATTTGTTTTCATATAGGTTTTTCGTGCCGAGTCTATTCTTAAAAGCCTCAATTCGGTCGATTAAGCAATTATACAACGAGACTTTTGGTCAAATTTTGGTACAATCACTTGATTTGAACCACTAGTAATAAGATTGGCAGGATCATTACGGACGATTGACATTCTTTTACAGTAATCTTATATATATTTTAATATATATATATACTGTATACATTAATATATAATGTGATTTTTCTTTGGTAGTGTATGTTATCTTAGTAGTTTATATCGTCATTTTTTTCTATAAATATATTTATTTCATAGTAGCTGGCAAATATGAAATTATATATATATAATTTACGATATTAGATTGCTACGTATTATTGTAATTAAGTCGGCTAAAATTAATTAAATCATTATTGTAAAATCATGAAGTCATGAAATACATTTACAATTATATGATATCATTACTCGCAAGAGCATCGATAACTTGTCTATCTGATTAGTAATATAGTGATAAAATCATATATAAAAGACAATTCTTTTAAACCAACTCAGATTTCTTTAATCTTTTTCAATTTAATAACCGTTACATTAGGATGTCATCGGCTTACGAGAAATTACTCGATACTTCTCACAATCCACCTTCTACCTACCATCAACGTCAACGTCTTGACCTCGCTCCAAAACCTAAAAAAGAAGAAAATATAAGAAAACAGCAAGAAGAGGAAGAACATCCTGATTACTTTGGAGTGACTGGTCACGAACAAATATTCACTCGTGAAGATCCTGAATTAATTCATCTAGATGAGAATTTTAAAAATATCAAAGGTGGTCAAATTAAACAAGAATCGAGGAAAGCAAAAGATTCCGAGCTTGGAAAATTAGGAATAGATACTATTAATATGTCAGATACTTTGAATGATGGTGAAGGTATTAAAGAATTAACTAAGAGAAATTTAGGTGTTAATCAGGAACATTATGCTGTTGATACAAAACCGGACTAAAATAATTGGTGGTTTTTGGGGATTTTTGTAAACTACGTGTTCTCCTATATGAACCAATTAAGGATATAGCTTAGCGCATTTATATTACACGATATTATATCTTGATAAATAAACCCGGGTTTTTTTTCTCAGATTATCTTCGTTTTTACCTCATAGCGACAGAAACTGCGGTCTTTGTAAACGATTTAGACCAAATTTAAAGGTTTTGGGTCAAAATCCCGACAAACAAATCTCGAGATGTCAAAATCCCGACAAGTTAAACCGCATTAGGTTAGCATTGTTTATAATTCCAGTCAATTTTTGTCAGGATTCTGTTTGTCGGGATTTGATCCAAACCCAATTTAAAAAATATACTGTTTACACGTACATATTTCTAAATCCGTCATCTGTTTATCCATATCTTAATTAAGGTCGGATAAACAGATCAGATATCCGATCCGGATATTTGATTATGGATTCCCTTATGTCAAGAAAATCCCGGGCTAAGGATCTACAAAAATTAGACTCGGAGCCAATAAAAATTGCAGGATCTTGCAGATCTTGCAGATCTTAACGTAAATCTAAACAAACGCCAAAAATAA